TGTTTTTTGAGATCAGCCTGTAGAGCTATAAACTTCCCTCTCAGGACTGCTTTCATTGTGTCTCATAGGCTTTGGATTGTTGGTTTTTCATTGTCATTAGTTTCCAAGATGTTTTTAATTTCTTCTTTGATCTCATTGGTAACCCAATCAATATTTGATAACATGCTATTTAGCTTCCAAGTGTTTGAGTATTTTGGGTTGTTTTTATTGTAGTTTATTTCTAATATTATGTCATTGTGGTCTGAGAAGATGCTTGGTATGATTTCAATCTTCTTGAATTTGGGGATACTTTGTGACACAATATGTGGTCTATTTTTGAAAATGTCCAATGAGCACTTGAGTGGAATATATATTCCATGGCTTTGGGGTGAAATGTTCTGAGGTTGTCAATTAAGTCCATCTGATGTAGTGAGTCGTTGAGGATTGCTGTTTCTTTACCAATTTTTTGTCTAGAGGATTTATCCAGTGATGTCAGTGGTGTATTAAAGTCCCCTACTGATTGTATTGTTGCCGATCTCTCCTTTAATATATTCCAGGAGTTTTTTTATGTATTTGGGTGCTCCTGCATTGGGCCGATATATGTTTATCAGGGTTATATCCTCTTGTTGTATTGATCCCTTTAGTATTACAAAGTGGCCTTCCTTATCTCTTGTTATGGCCTTCACTTTCAGGTCTAGTTTGTCCGATATGAGTATTGCTACCCCAGCTTTTTTTTCATTTCCATTTTCCTGAAAGATATTTTTCCATCCCTTCACTTTCAGTCATATGAGTCCCTTCTTCTGAGGTGGGTCTCTTGTAGACAGCAAATGTATGGGTCATGTTTTTTTTATCCATTCAGCCACTCGATGTCTTTTGGTTGGAGCATTTAATCCATTTACGTTTAAGTTATTATTGAAAGGTATTTGTTCGTAGCCATTTCTTTTATTTGTGGCTGTTTTCTTTCTGAGCTTTTTATTTCTTCTTTTTACACCAGTGTCTTTAGCATTTCTTGCATTGTTGGCTTGGTGGTGGTAAACTCCCTTAGCCTTTTTTTGTCTGTGAAGCTAGTTTCATTGATCTTTTGTATTTTTTTTTTTTGTCTCCATGTCATTTATTTCTGCTCTGATGTTTATTATTTCCTTCCTTTTACTTACTCTGGGCTTTTCTTGTTGCTCTCTTTTTAATTCTTTAAGTTGTAGGGTTAGATAGTTTATTAA